TAGCATAATTTATTTTTGGTTATTTTCAAATACTATGTTATATACTTAGACCTATTATTCTTGGATCAGTTGTCTTTTCCCCTACAAACTTTTCCTTCTAACTTGTTTCTGAATTCATGTTGTCTATGCCATTACTTTTTTATTTTTAAAAATTTAAATATGTGTATGTGTGGTATATGTATGTGGTGTGTGCGCACATGTGTGTCTGTGGTGGGGTAGAGGAGGATGTTGAGTGTCCTGCTCTGTTACTCTCTGCTTTAATCCCTTGAGACAGGATCTCTCACTGAACATAGAGCTAGGCTGGTGACCAGCAAGCCCAGTGAGCCTCTGCACAGTGCTTAGGTCACAGACACATGTGAGGCCCTGCCCAACTTTTTATGTGGGTGCTGGGGATTTGAACTGAGGTACTCATGCTTTCATAGAAGAGCTCTTTCCCACTGAGCCATCTCCCCTGTCCTATGCTATGACGTTTACACTCCTCTTAGTTTCTAACTGTGGTAAATTGTGTAGTCTTTCACGTTTGAGTGACAGAATAATTCTACACATTGGAAAAACAATAATGCTCACAGTACTGTAATATTTCACATACTTTGGGGAAATCTTTTGAATATCTTGCTTTGGAGGGCTGAAAGGATTGACCTTGGACCCTTTGTCATTAGCACCTTTACCCTGTTACATGCACTGGCATTCCATGACGCACTCTTTTTTTTGTCAGACAATAATAGGTCCCAAGTTTTGCTTGTAAACATAGTTCCTTTAGCCACTGGGTACCCTGCAAAGGCTCAGGGGTCTCGTGAAGTGATTCTGAGTCCTATTTGGGATTGGTCTGGATCTAGAGGAAGTGTTGGGATGAGCTGTTGGTGGGGAAGTTTTGAGATAGTTGATTTTAGCTGGATTGTCATTTTAAATCAAGAGGACCTTTGTAGAATTAGAAGGTTTGAGCACTCCCAGCTCCTGCAGCCTATTCACTCTTAGTTTTCTTTCCAAGATTACGAGTTTGCTCAGGAAATTCTGCATACTGAAGTTTGGGATGTGGCTTTGTCACAGGAGGAATAAAGCATCAAGAACCATGAAGTTAGAAGTTTCTTAAAGATTTGTTGGTTTTCACTATATGTGTTAGGAGTGTTTTGCATATATGTATGTGTATCACATGTTTACAGTGCCTACAAAGACCAAAAGAGGGTGTCAGGTCCCCTGGAACTGGAGTTACAGATAATTGTGAGCCACCATGTGGGTGCTGGGAATCAAATGCGGGTCTTCTGCAAGAGTAGCCAGTGCCCTACTGCTGAGCCATTGCTCCAGCCCCTCAGTTAATACGTTTTTGTCTTTTCCTGAACCACCTGAAATTTTGGCTGCTGAGAATCTCACTCAGGTTTAGGTGAGTGATGATAATGTTGCTTTGTATTTTCACTCTCCTTTTCACATGTGAAAGGATCCTGTTCACGATTTCACCTCATAGATACACTCACAATGGAGACCATGCAAATGTGTGCTGAAATAAATGAAGACCCATAGAGTCTGTAAAGCCACGCATCCATTAAGGCTCTATCCAGTTAGTCACAGTTCAGGCTGCTGGGTGTGGAGTTCAAGTTCCCCTACACCCACCTCATTTTCTTCATTTCTGCCCTTAACATCCGTCAGTCTAAAATATGCGGCATGTGCTTAAGATTGCTCCAGGATTTCTGGGATTATAAAAAGGGTAAAAGATAAGGAGAATTCTTTACTTGGGTCCACAATCCCCCACAAGGTAGAAGGGAGAGTCAGAGTATAAGCAGGAGGGCTTTACATCTCCACTATAAGAGTAACTATAGCTTTACCCAGTTGCTCCCAGAAATTGTTAAAGATGGATCCTGTGGATTCTGAATGGAGGCTTTGCTTTAAGGCACATGACAAACTGTCTGTAAACAATAAACTCGGAGTGACGTTGCTTTTATTTTCCTGTGATTTCTGGTATCAACTGTTTCCAGGCTTTTGCTAAAGTAATACTTATATGTTTTGGCCCTTATGTTTTTTTGACTGATGGTAGAGTTTGTGTTCTTGTAATTTTCGTGAAAGGAAGAATGTGGTAACAGTTTAGAGGTGAGCTGGGCTAAAGGAGGAAATATGCAGTTTCTAAGAGTAGACATTTAAAAACCTATATGTAACAGATGTTTCGATGACCTTTCTCATCCATGTGCATAAGGAGGTTGTTGCTTAAATTGGACTCATGTAGCTCGATGGGTTTTTGCATCACTGCATTGAGATGGAGGCCCCTTTGCACCTCTGGGTTTTATTTTCCTGATGCACTGTGTGGATGTTGGTGTTAAGAGATAATTCTACCATATCATCATGTTAAAATATCCACCGTGCCCTAAACCACTAAGCTTGACTGGGCCCCAGGATCTTTACTGTTCTCTGTTTCCAGGGATTCATCCTGCTTCATAACCGAGGATTCTTTCTTTTTCATCTGGTCACAGTTTTTTTTTAAGTATGTAACTCTGTGCTTCTGTTTCAGACCCAATGTCTGTGGATCACGTTATAATGCTTACTGTTGTCCTGGATGGAAAACTCTGCCTGGTGGAAATCAGTGTATTGTTCGTAAGTAGACAACCTGTCCTTCTACACACATAGTGACATTAGCAACTGCATACTATTAATGTGTTTATAGCTGAGCATACTATTAATGTGTTTACAGCTCTAAGATTTTCCTGCTTTTCCTGACCCTAACTTGGGAAATCAACTTTTCAAAGCATTGCCATTCTTTAATGTAGTGACTTCCCTTAGAACACTTCCAGACCTAGAGAATGGAACAGCAGGGACACTTTGGTCAAGGTTGTATGCTGTTTGCACATGCTATTACTGGCTACAGAGACTGTGTAATCACTCTAATAGGATTTTTGAAGAAAATCCTATCTTTGTTGAATTTTTTATTGTAATTTCTACCTTGCTGGCTACAATAAGACACAGGCCTCCCCAAAATACCGAATCTGAGTGGTCAAGGACAAAAGCAGTTCTAACTCTTAAAGATAAAAGGCAGGGGTTTGTCTTCATGTTCATGGCTGAGTCACAGCTGGCTGTGGTAGTATGCACATAATCCCAGTACTCCAGAGGCAAGAGGGTCAAGAGTTTGAGGCCAGCCTGGGCTATATAGTGACATAGTCTCAAAAAAAGTCACTAAGAGGGGTATATGATTATTTGGAGTTTTCTAAATAAGCTTGACAATAGAGTCCTTTCCCTGAGTTCTTTAGACTTCTCTGAGAAATGTTTTCTTAAGGCATCAAAATAAGTGTTGATGTGATTTTGTGATAGCTCATTTCATAACAGCTGGTAATCTCCAGCTAAGCTTTTATGATGTTTCAGTGCACACTCCATTCTGTTTTATTTAAGCCTCTTGCATCATGTTTGTTACTTATAAGGGTCTTTGCCGAAGAAGCTTGGGCAAAGGAGCACACCATGCCAATAAGTATAAGAGGCAGTGACCAAACCTTCGTCTGCTAACAAATTTAAGTCATTTGCCATTGAATTTGCTCTTTTGGGCACGGACAGAGCATTTCGTCCCAAGACATTGGCTGCTGGGTGGCACTGGAAATGCTAACATCTCCCTAGTGAAAGAAAGATTTCTTGACTGTAGAGTCAGCAGAGTGGTGGATTCCAGATTCTCCTTTTGGGTTGCCAGTGCAATTCAGAACAGGGAAAACATTAAACATTTACAATTAAATCATCTCCCAATAATAGTGTGACAAATTTTACAGCATTCAATCATAGTTAGTATAAAAAAGTTAAATATGCTTAGATGCAAGATTTTCATTTGTTTTGTTTTCCTGTTACAGCCTATCCAGGGATAGGCTGCTATGCAATATCCATATTTTTGATGGGTGCTATGCAATAAAGAGAAAGGTTGAGAGCCACCAATATCCACAAGGGAGTTATTAGTTTTAAAGCAAGTTTGTTTACCCCAATGGATTTGTTTTATTAATGAATATACCTGAGGTTTAACACTATATATACCGTGATGGCGAAGTTCATGAGGAGCAATGGGCCTGGCCTCCTCAACTGAGTACGGGATCCTGATGACTAACCGTATGCTGATGAATCCATAGACTGACAGACCTCTGGTTTCATTCACAGCCATTTGCCGACATTCCTGCGGAGATGGATTTTGTTCGAGGCCAAATATGTGCACTTGCCCGTCTGGCCAGATAGCTCCTTCCTGTGGCTCCAGATCCAGTGAGTCTAACATGTCATTATATAGAATATTATTTTATGTGGTTATGCCCTATTTTCTCCTACATTTTCTTTCAGCTTTTTTCTTGCCTGAAACATATTTTTTTCCCTCCACTAGAACATCTGCCTTCTTCACTTTGCCCAAATACTTGGAAGGGCTTTCCTGGATCTGTCCTCCACTTCCCTTCTTCACTCTTTATAGGAAAATTACCCATGGGGTATAGTCACTGGGAATAATATCAAGACTGTGACCTTTGGTGCAGGGATAACCGCATTCATCTCTGTATCTCCAATGTAAATGCCAGGAAAGGTGACCACCAACATGATCTTTTAATGAATGTTTTTGGCTCAAGAAAACTAGTCATTTGTCTTTGTGGTACTGAAATATGAAATTTATCTCATGAAAAACTTATTTAAAAATCAGATACAGACAGGGACCTGTTGGATAAGCACTCCAGCTTCTTTGCTATCAGTTTGGATCATTCTGAGATTTGTTCCTCAGTTTTCTGAAGTTTCTGACCAGCACTAAGCCCTTGATGCCTAGTGGTAGTAGATTGTAAAAGCTCAGCTGCTTCTTACCCCATCTCACTTTCTAATTCATCTACCCGTGTTTCCTGGAACTGCTCCCTAACAAACTGCTTCTGTTAAAATTGGTGTCTCAGAATCTGTTTCCAGTGGAACCCAAGTAAAGACAGCCCAATACTAAATAAAGTCAGTTGCAGATCAAAATAGAACCCCGCCCCCATGGACTGGGGAGTCTTGTTCCTCACAGAGTACAGCATTTTCTTACCTGACTTCAGCTTGGTTTTGCATGTTGGGGGCTCACTCTACACAGCAATGGTACCTAAACTGGAGGATTGGGAAGAGACAGTGAAGTCCGCTGGTAGGTCCAGGAACATGCTGGACATCTCTGCCTCTCCGAGGAAGACCTCAGGCTGCCGTGGAGGAGAAACAGCTTCAGTGCTGGGCAGAATGTGGATATCAAGTTAGGAATAAAGTTCATTAGATTGATCTTTAAGCCAATTAACCCTCTAAGGAAAGAAAATCAGGACAGCGTCACCAGCTAGAAAGTTCCCTGATGATAATGTGACATGCTCTTGACTTCTGTCAGGTGAAAGTCATGAGGTGTGGACAGGAGGTTAACAAGACCAGACAGGAAGTCTGCGTGGTTCTGCTATGTTTTGAACTAGCTGTAGATGGGAGGAGCATGGCAGTAGATTCTGAGACTGGATTTAGGCTAGAGACTAAGTCTAAGGCTTGTGGATGGTCCTCTCTGGAGGAGTTTGGATTCATCTGTGGCTATTGGACAAAGCCCCAAAACAGCATGTAGAAGAGAGTAGTGTGTGGAAGAGGTCTTATTTCAAGGTCCCTGAGATATTTGGAGTATTTAAAATGATTGACTTGAACTCCCTTTGAACTACCATTGTCTTAACAGTTTGACAGTTAAAGATGCCAAAATTTTTAAATTAAGATTAGTTGAGGATAATCTGATCTTTTGAAACAATGTTTTGGGAATAGTTGTACTCTACTACAGAGCTTTCAGGACCCTGTAGCTCTCAGTAATTGAAAGATGGATCACTGGGTAACTCTCCTGCCAATGGGATAACCTCAGCTCAGTGAGATATGTTTATTCATTACTTATTGTTCTACTAACCTCTTAACATTGTGATATAACACTGTCGTCTACAAGTGTATCAGGATGCATTCATAACTACCCTCTTACATGTTGAGCAAGACTGCTTTAGAGCAAAAAGCCCTTCATCCTATGAAAATTTCGTACTTGGTATGTGATGGGGTAGTGGAGGTCTGGCGGGTTGTAGATCTCTGAGCTCACTGTTCTTATCTTAAAGTGGCAAGGATGGAGGAAGCTGTTCTTTCAGGTGGTCCTGACTTGAATGTCCTGAGCCTCTGAGAAAGACAATGATCTTTTAGTGGCCTAAGTGTAGAGAGACATTTCTGTAAGTTTCAAACTACCGGTTGGTAATTTTGGGGGGACCAGTAGGATGCGACTTTGCTTAGATCTTGTACAACTCTGGAAATTGCCATTAGACACCAAAACAAAAGAAGGATTAGCTAGACAAGGTCAGAGCAGTGCTTTTTCTAGATTTTAATTCTAGCTGTATTTAGGACTCTACTCATTTTTCTAAGACTCGAGTTGGATCCTGTGCATGCAGTCTTATTCCTTATAACGTTCTATCATGTTTATTGACTGAATTTACTTCAACTCTCTTTTAATTGTAATGTACATATACACAAATACGTATTAGCTCGTAATACTATTAGTATTGAGAAATGGTTCAGGCTTCCATAACAAAATAACTTAGGTGGGGCAATTTATAAACAACAAACTTTAAATTTTTTTAAATTTATTATTTTTATTTTATGTGTATGCATGTATTGCCTGCATGTAGGTAAGTGCAGCCGTGTGGTGAAATGCCCGCGGAGGTCAGAAGAGGCTGTCGGATCCCCTGGAACTGGAGTTACGAACAGGTGTTAGCTGCCATGTGGGTGCTGGGATTCGAACCCGAGTCTTCTGCAAGAACAACTGGTGTTCTTAACTGCTGAGCCATCTCTCTGGCCCCTAAACAACAAAACTTTTATAGTTCTAGAAATTGGGGCTTCTAAGATCAAAGCCTCAGCAGATCACATGTCTGATAACAGCATGTTTCATATTGTCACCATATGTGTGTCACATGGTAAACAAGCTCCTGGTCCTCATTTTAAGGACCCATCTTAGTTTCATTTCCTGCTGCTAAGATAAAATACCCCAACGTTTATTTGGCTCACAGTTCAGTCCATCATTAGGGATAAGTCAAGATGGCAGGCGTTTGAACCAGCTAGCCACATTACATCCACAGTCCATTCATGCATGCTTCTTGTGCTCAGCTCAGTTTCTCCATTTTTATACATTTCTGGATCCCAGTCAGGGAAGGGCCTCAACCACAGTGGCCTCTCACCTCAGTTATACAGTTGAGATAATCCCCACAGGTGAGTGGCCTCTCACCTCAGTTATACAGTTGAGATAATCCCCACAGGTGAGTGGCCTCTCACCTCAGTTATACAGTTGAGATAATCTGCACAGGCATGCCGGAGGCCACTGCCGCGTGATTTTTAGATTGTCAAGTTGACAGTTAACACTAACTCAAACAAAGGCTTGGCCTGTGTGATTTTACTCATCATTAATAATAGTACAGTGGTTTTAACAAAGAAACTTAGGAGGAAGGACACATATTCAGAGCAGAATATATACACATGCCCATATATATACATATATTCATAAAGTTATTTCCCACATTTTATTTTATTACAAAATTTTAAAAAATGTGTGTGTATGTGTGTATGTATGTATATATGTATATGTGTGTGAGCACGTGTACATGTCACAGGGTTCTTGTGGAGATCAGAGGACAACTTTGGTTCTTTCCTTCTACCATGTGGGTCTTAGGGATCAAATTCAGGTTGTCAGGCTTTGTGGCAAGAATCTTTACCCAATGAGCCACCTCACTTGCCCTCTATTTTATATTTTTAGAAATCAGTTTTATGCTGATCTTATTTTCCTTGCTTTACACCTTTTGAGAGAGACTTTCATGATTGAATTTCATATTTTGAGAAAATTACATGTTCGAAGACAGTTTTAAGACCTAATATGGAGAGAGACTTTACCTATTTTTTCTCTTGGTGACCAATCTTACAGAACTGTAGTACAGCATCACAGTCAGAGTGCTGCGTTAATGCAGTCAAGACACAGAATACCTCCAGCCTCACAGGAAACCCTCACGGGATCTTCTCATTGTCATTTTCCTCCTGCCCCTGTGCCCTCCTGAGTCTTGACAACCACTAATCTATTTCTATTTTCATGATTTTGTCATTTCAAGGATGTTATAAAAATAGGATCAGATAACATACAAGTTTCTGGGATTGGCATTCGTCACCAGAATAACCTCAGTTTTCTCGGTTGTTGCTTGCAGCAACAGCTTGTTCTTTCACTGCTATGCAAAACACATTCTGTGGAGATACCACAGTTTTTTTAGCTACCTTCCTACGTTGTTTCCAGCTTTTGCTGTTGTTTTTGGTGTGTGCTTGTATGTATGTGTGTGTTACTCAAATAAAGCTGCTATGAAGACTTGCATACAGGTTTTTGGTGAACACAAGTCTTTATTTTCTCGGGATAAATGCCCAGGAATGCAGTTTCTGGGTTGAATGTAGGTTTCATGTTTAGCTTTTTAAGAACTGTCAAACTATTTTTTGGAGTAGTTGTGCCATTTTACGTTCTCAGCAGCAATGTCTGCGTGACCCAGTTTCGATTCCGGCTCTCTGTGCTGTCACTGTCCTTAACTGCAGCTAGTCTTTCAACTTTAGGTAGTCCTTCAACTTTAGGTAGTTCTGGTTTTCACTTACACTTCCCTAATGGCTGATGATGCTGAATAACTTCGTGTGCTTACTTTTCTCTTGTATGTCTTTTTCAGTGAAATGCTTTCTCGTCTGTCCAGACTCTGGTAGAGTGTTTGCTTTACTTCCGTTTTGAGAGCTTTGTATGTTCTAAATCCTAGCTTTGTCAGGCGTGATTTGCAGATATTTCCTTGCACTCGATGCTCGTCAGTTTGCTTTCCCACCCACCACTGTGTGAGCTTCACAAGGCAAAAGTTTTTAAACCTAATTACTCTAATTTGTCAACTTTTCTTTGTTCCTCCATGATTTTGGCATTAAGTCTGAGGGCTTTGCGTAGTCTTAGATAGCAAAGATTTTCTCCCATTTCCCCCCTAGATGTTTATAGTTTGACATCTATGTCTGTGATCTCCGAAGGTAAATTTTATATGAGGTGTGAGCTTGAGGTTGGGTTCAGTTGTTACCCATGGATGTCCAGTTGTTCCAACGTCATTAGTTTCTGAAAATTCTGTCCTCCAGGCATTTGATTTTGTCATAGTTTACATCTCAAATATTTCGAAAGGTCAAGGAACTGTTGGGAGGTGGTAAAATCTTTACAAGGTGGGACCTTGAGAGAG